AGAAGGGCTCTCATCTCAGACTGCTTTCTATGAAATTGTTATGCTCAGTAGGAGAGCCCTGGAGTTCAGCTGTGAATGTCAGGCCAGCTTGCCAGTACCAAGGTCTGCTTTTCTCCTTCTCAAATGTTACCTTTTCAAACAATCCTGCCCAAACCTCTCTGAGTTGTCCTTTGTCCCTAGTTACTGTCTGCTTGTGCCCCCTGTGTATAGCCTTCAAAGCACACATTACAGACTGTAATCACTTGTTTGTTTGCATGTCCTCTGCCTCTTCCCACAGTGAAAGAGGCTCGTAAAATAGTATCTGTCACGTTCTGCCATCAGTTCTGTAACCTAGTATAGAACCCAGCCTCAGATACTACTGTGGAAGGGGGTGTGGAAAGAGGAACATAGTCTCCTGTGTTGCTGAGCAGCTATTTCCCTGCCACCAGACCTCACTTTCCTAGTTTACACAATAATCTAGTTCTTTTTTTCTCAAAAGACCTTTTCAAATCTGACTTTTGAGGATGTAATAGATACCAAAGCTCAGCTCTCCAGGGACAAGGACATCCTTAAACATCTTTTGAACAAAAATTAAGTGGCTGCCTTTGGAAAAGGACACTGGGGAAGAATGGGGAACCTTGTCATATTCAGGAGGGAGTGCAAAAGTAGGGCTTCATGCTTTAAGGAAAAAGAACAAGAAAAGGGAACCAGAGATTGATAATAGGGGAGTATAATGAGGTGGCAATTTTGGTTTCAAAAGAATGTGATTAGCTCCTAATGACTGCCACCATTCCCTGGTCAATCTACTGTAACTAGCCACTAATGTAAAAATAATGCCCCTGGCTCCTTCACTTTGAAGACGAGATGAGTCTCCCTTTCATGCTCTTACCCCTCAGATTTGTTTTCTTGAAGAGATTATCCTCTATTAGACTGCAACTGCCTAAAAGGGGAAACATATGGGTGATCAAAGTCTGCCAATTAGGGAGCCATTACCACCTCTTCTCAGTGGCTCTATTAGGCACACCTTCCATATTTGTCAACATCATCACAAACTCATACCCACCCCATAACCCATCCCTGGTTTCTTCCATCCTCACTAGGGGGAGACAGTGGTCCTGGGGCTGTCATTGGCACCTGTGTGTATTCCTATGGGGAAGTAACCCTCAATCATGTTGGATATAGGATTTCCCTGGGACAGGTTTGCCTTGGCTTGTCCCCAAGGCCATATCTTTGATGTTAAGCAGCCATATAGAAATCTAGGAATGGAAAGATTGACCTTCTTTGGATCTTTGCAATGTTACAACACAAAGGATTTGTGCTTATTCTATTGGGCTCGTGGAGGCAGGTCAAGGCAAAGCACAAGGCCAGAGTAAGGAGAAATCTAGCCAGTGATGCTGCTCAAAATGCATGCAGGAATCTTTGAGAGAATGAGCAGTCTGTCACTGAAGGTATGCCAGTGATTGACACTGTGAGTCAGCTAATCAGCTTCTGAAAGCCACCATAGGCAGGACAGTTTTCAAGGTCACTGATGACTCTGCAATTCTAAGGTCATCATCATCCACAGTACAGAAGCCACTTCATTTATTAGTCATTTCATTAATTCCAAACTTTCCATTCTAACCCTATGAAATAAAGTCCTAGCAGTGGGCCCTGGGAATGGAATTATAAATGAGATGCTATCCTTTCCCTGAAGAAGGCCCTAGCCAAGTTGGAAGGTAGGCTTTTAGATTGTTAGATGGAGAGATGCCCATGTGATGAGAATCCAGTAAGGGAGAGTGAGCACAAAGACCACACATGGGAGGAGAAGCTCAGATGGGTTTTGGAAGACACTTAGAAATCTTACAGGAAGCCTTGAGTGGAAGGGAATTTCAAGTGGAAAGAACACACGTAAAAGTCTCAGAAACCTAAGGACTTTGTGCATGGCGAGAAGTAAGGCTGGATGAACATTTGGGGTGAAGTCGTAAAGGGCCTGTTATGAATTTGGAATCTATTCAATAAATTCCAATAAAAGGAGGAGTTACTGTGTCCTGTTCACAGTTTATAAAGATCAATCTGATTACAATGGAGGATGAATTGGAGGAAATAAAACTAAATAGGAGATTCAAAGGTAAATTATTTCTGCTGGTAAATTTACCATTTTCACAGTTAAATCCAATGGGAGCTTTGATAATTGCCTATCCCCTCCACATTTTATCACAGACAGCAACTTATTTGGTCTGGAATAAGACCTTAAGCTAACAGAAACCTAAATTCTGACCCACAGCAGATACTAAACATATTTTTCCATAAGATTCATATGAAAATATTCTGCCCTGCCACCATGTTGGAATGAACAGTTGACTTTTATCACAGAGAATTTCAAGTGAAAAATCTGCTCCCCAAAGATCAAACCAAATATGAAAGACAAAGATGTCACTAAGACCCTGATGTGCAGCCATACGCCTGGCAGGCTGACTGACAGAATGGGCTGCCTGGTCAGGAGGTAGGATGAGGCTAGAATCTGAGTTAGGCACAGGAGCAAGAAGCATAGGTGGCCTAAAGATAGCCTAAACCAAGGGATAGATGGTTACTGGAATACTTGGTACCCAGAGGTTAGGACTTGCTTTCTTTCCCCTCAGAAATGTCTACCTAAGGTTTTGAAGCACACGAATAACAACATTTGTGCCTTTCAGTGGCTATGGGAAGGATAGAAAGAATGTACAATATTTCTACATATCCAATCACTGTGTAGATAAAGCTCATGATCATGGTAGAAAAACCAGAGTCAGCAAGCCATAGACATGAACTAAATACACATTTAGAAATACCTATGTTTGTAAATAAACATTTATTGAAACACAGACATTTTACTATGCATTTGTCTGGGTTGCTTTTATGCTACAACCAAAGAGCTGGGTGTGATTCAAATGTGTATCTAGATTTTCACAGATAAGTCTTGAAAATAACCTTTGCTATATGAAAACCACCAAAGTTGGTGAAGACAATGTGAGACTAGAAGTAAGAAAGTGTTCACTGTGGGCAAACACAACTTTGTCATACACAGTGGCCATACCTGCCTCTGAGACCATGGCCTGCTGAGTGACTGAATTTCTGGCCAGTTGATGAGGACTTGCTCTTGCTTAGGGTAGACCTAATGAGGAATAGATGGGAAGGTGAAGGCTGTTGTGTTAAGATGAATGGATGTCTTCTCCTCCGTTGTGCAGACCAGAAGTTGCAAGCTGATGTTGTTAGCAATGCAAGGACCATGGGCAGGATGTTCAGCCTGTCCTTCTGTATGGAATGAGAGATACTCGTCATAGTAGGGCTTGTTCTGCATGCTGCTGCAGGCTCGCTAAAGCCGTTTCCAGTCCATAAGTGATGATTTTTTCTCCTCTGTGATGGGACTGACTGCATTGTCCTTTCGTTCTAGACCACTTGGCGCTCAACTCTTGCAGTCCATCCACATGAGTGTCCACTTGGCTGTCACTTACATAGTTGTCTCCCTCTTAAACTGATTGATGACCTCTGTCCCCTCCCTCCCTTTAAGCTCTGGAGCTTTGCACTAAACTTCCTGGGCCATACCTCAGCTTAGATGTCTTACAGACATCTCAAACTTGGGTGGCATTAGTACTATTATCATTTTTACTAATTTCAACATATTAAAATATACACAGTACCCACTGGTGGGCACTCTTCTAAGTGTATTATGTATCTAAAAATGCAATGCCTAATTCCCACACAATCAATCAGGTTTCTCCCTCAGATTAATCCATTTCAGTAAATGACATTTCTCTGGTTCTTCAAACCATTGACCTAGAATCCAGCATCCATGCTTCTTTCATTCATAGTTCCTGTCTAAATTCCTTGGGTTAGTGCCCAGTACAATCCACACATTCATGATTCTCATACATATCAACCTGACAGCTTCCTCTAGTAGACATCTGTGTTGTTACCTGAGGTCTTCCTCAAGACTAAAGAATACCCATAGTACCTATAGAGCATGGCATGAACATGAGGGGTTTCTAACAGTCTTCTCCAGCAGTGGCAGAAGGGAAGCAATGATAAGCATTTCCAACTCTCTCCTTCCCTTCTCATACAAGAGTCCTAAACATGAATTCTTAAGCTCTGGTTTTGCATCCCCCTCCCCCATTCTCCCACTCATTCTCTTTGATTGCCTCCAAACCCAACCACTTGTACTCAAAAGCTTTATCTTTGGTTCTAGTTCTGAGGCAAACTAAGTGAACAACCACAAAATAATTGTTTTTTTCATGGTCACTACTACTACCTGCTCCAACAGTCCAAGCACCATCATGAGGTATGATTGCAGTAAATTCACAACTCTGGCCTTCCTGCAGCCTGTATCCCACATAGGAACATGAATGCCCTTTGTATAGTGTATGAGATGAACTCCTTACCTCCTTGTTTAGAGCCCTCCAATTATTCCCTATCACACTTAGAACAGCATTCTGTACTAGCCAGGAACTAGAAGTTTCCAGTCATTAGTCTCCCACACACAATGCTACCATACTCTCATCTATGAGCATGATCATGTGGCATTCTCTGACCTTTGCACCTGTTCCTTTTGCCTGGAAAGTTCTTTCTACTTTTCTCAATGTGACTGGTTTCTTCACCCCATCGAGGAGTAAATTTTCATGTGAGTTTTGTTATCCTGCTCTATTTCTTCACATCTTCATTATATAAAATTGAACTTTCTTTGTCCTTTGCTACATTTCACAATCCACTGGATACTGTAAAGTTCTAGTACCTACCTAGAATAATTTCCAAAACACATTTGGGGATCAATGAGTATCTGCTGAGTATATGAGTGAATGAATAAATGAATGAATGACTCCCCACTGGATATAACAGTATTTGTGCCAATGAACAAGTAAAGTCAGACCATGGGCGGCACCATTTCAGACACATATTCCTTCATACTGAGTGCCCATCACAGTGAATACTCATTTCCTTTTGTTGGTTCATCTATACATGAGGAGAGTTGCCATCACAGATATGCTAACCACTCTGCCTTTGCCTTGTAGGCCTTACCAGAGGGACAGACAGCTTCGTGGGATACAGCCAAGGAAGATGAAAACCGCAATAAGAATCGATATGGGAACATCATATCCTGTAGGTGTCCTGGGTGGTTCTATCTGTTAAATTTGGGGAAATGTGGGAGAAAAAATAACAGTTCTCTTTTCCTGGCATTTGATATAAAATAATCCTTAGGTTTCCAGCTTTGTGTTAGTGAATTATTACAATGACCCTAGAAAGCGATGGTGAGGAACCAAGCAATGGTCAGGAACCAAGGGAGTAAGGGAGGACTGCCACAAAGCTGACTACCACTCATGGATAGCACACAAGTATTGGCACTTCCAGATGACAATATGAACAGCCTTCAAGGCAGCACAGGGAGAGAGGGCAGTTACCCAAGAGAAAATGTTGAGTTCATGCTCTGTTAAGAGTTACCTATAGCAGCCTTTGTATGATCTATTGTAGCCCAACCTAGGCCTTTTGACATCTTAAAATTTCTTAAGATCTCAAGTTACCCATGTTTGGGCAAAGAAAAGGGAAAGGGAGAAATCCTAAGGGACAAGTTATTTCTAGCACACTTAAAAGTTTTGTTTTAACTGTCTAGACATCACCAAAGAAAGAAGCTGGAGAAAGAATAAGACACAGGCAGTTTGTAAAGGGAGAAAGAAGCAGAAGTTTTCGCTTAGCTGTTTCCTGTGCTGATTTAGGAATGGGCTCTGAATAGTGTAACTAATCAGAAAACATTTATAATTTCTCTCTTGCATGCAGACAGCAAGATTTCTTGCAAGTGAAGTGTCGGAAAGAGATATCCAAATAGTCAGCAAACATGTATTAAGGCATAATGTGTGGGCCTCCTCTGAAGACTTCCTGTCCTGGGAAATGACTTTGTTCTGGGACAGGTGGTTATTCACTATGACTCGTCCCCACCATCATGTGCTTCAGCACAGTGCCTGTGTATACTAAAGTATTGAGTGTATTATGCAACGTCCTTGTCAGGTTCTGAGTTCAAGTAAGGTCCACTGTCTAAAATAAGTTTCCAGTGTCCTACTCCTGGGAATAGAGAACAGATGTGAAAAGAAAATTCTTAAAACATAAGGAAAGGAGACTTACTCATTGAGAGATGGGAATACTCAAGCCAAGGGACAGAAGCCAAGATGTATGAGAGATACATAAAAGATAGAAAAGGTCTCCTCAGGCCTTCCACAGCTTATCTTTGCCTGGGTCATCACCAACTGTTTCCTGGTTCTGGACCAGTCTCTCCCTGTCTCCTTCATATCCAACTGGCCAAAACTTTCTACCTATCTGATCCTTGACAGGATTCATACAGATCTTTACTACATGACTAGATGATGTAATTTTTCCATTAAAAGATCTTTAGATGTTCGTTTTCACCCTTGAGTTCTCCTTGCAAGGCTTTTCTAGACCCACTCATGGGGATTCAGCCCATCACAGTCCCCTTGGTAAGCCACGCTGGCTATCATACAGCTCTTGAGCTTTATACGTTGTCCTTCCACACCTCAAGGTCAGCTTGACACAGTCCACTCTCCATCCAAGTGCCCTTCCCTCCTCTCTTTGTTTGCTAATATCTACTTCTTCTGTCTATCAGCTACCATCACTCTCTAGGGGATTTTTCTGACCCTAGTCATGTAGGTGAACCCCCCAACCTTCAGCCCTAGAGTTCTATGTCTTATGTTCACCTTGGCATTTGCCATCATTGTACATTGAGAGGTGTTTGGATGAGCCTGCTTGCTTGCCTCCCATACCTACCCCACAGCAGCAGAGTCACAGCCATCTTGCATTTTTGTTTCCCCAAACCTCCCATATGGCTGATGTCTAAAAAACAGTAACTGAACATGGGGAGGATCCTGTAGGGCATGAGCATTGGGTTTCTCGCCACTATGTCCCAAAATTGATAGTGAACACCTTAGAAGGATAGCCAGAGGAAGGCTGGGTTAAGCCAACACTGAAGGGTAAGTCCCACGAGGGAAGAGCAGAGAGAAGACATGACAGGAAGGAGAGAAAGACACACCATTCCTGCTGAGAGCTCCAGCTGAGAGTCAGAAGTGCAGACTGTGGTATTAATGGGATTGAATTCCACTGCTGGGGTGACTTCCTAGGCCCTATAGACACATCATTTACTGTACAGTAGCACCCATGTCAGGATGGGTACCAGAGTCAGGATAGGGTTGACAGGAATCATGTGCCCATGGCTGCTATTATAGGGAGCTGCATTCTGTCTGTGGGTTTCAATGGAAAAGGTTAAAGAGAAACACTCAGAGGCTTGGAAAGTGTCCCTGCTTTTCTTTATATGTGTCCCTCCCAAAGGCCGTGCCTGCCCAGCCTTAATAAACAGAAATAGTCTTGGCACAAGAAGAAAACCAGCTATGATTACCATTTTAAGGAACCCAGGTTCCCAAAAGGCCAGATTGGAGGACGACGGCCCAGGCCAGAGAGCACAGAAAAGATTAAAGGGGAAAGGGGGAGGGCAGGAGCTATGAGAGAGAAAACTTGGTGAAAAAGCTCTTTCTCCCAAATGACCCTATTTAGAATGTAGTAATGGAGACGGGGCTTTCCAGGGAATAGAAACTGAAAGGAATGAAACAGGGGGAAATGAACAGGCAAAGCAGGAGAAGAAAGTCCTTTGCTTTCCGATAGCTCCAGGGCAGAGACTGTAAGCAAGAAGAGATTTCAAGAATAGCAAAGTGTCCATCTCCCACCCCCAGCCCTGGGGACATTCTGGAGCTTTCTGGACTGGCAGTAGGGAGATGACTGTGGAGAAGGAAGTTCTCACAAGGGCTTCAGATTCCATAATGTGCCACAGTTCTGTGATTAGTCAGGATCCCAGAGGAGAACGGGTGGGACCCCCAGATAGCATCCTTTGAGAAGTAATGACAAGTCCCTTCACAAAGGTGTAGTCTAGGAGCAAAGACAGTAGAAGCCAGCGAGGATTCTGCAGGGAGAAATCACCAGGACCTGGAGACAGAAGCCACCAAACCCAGGTGTGTCCTCTAGTGGCAACTCCAACAAAGGGAGATGACCCTGCTCTTTTGCCTCCACCCATTCTATGCTTTCTGGCTGGTAGCCGATCCCAATTAGAAGGCAGAGGACAGAGCCAACCCAGTGGCTTTCAAGCTGTGGTCCCTGGGCAACAAACACTAGCAGCATCACTTTGGAGCTCACTGGAATTGCTAATGATCAGATACTTCCCTGGACCTCCAACATCAGAAGGCATGGATACAGCACCCAGTAGTCTTATTATTTCAGCTCTCTAGTGATACTTTGAGGATCTTATATGGTTATTGGAGAGCAACCTCCTAGACTGTAGAACCAGGTGGAGAACATGAAACATGAATCCCAGGGCTCACACTCATTTGCTAAAGCTTCTTTTACTTGAGTCTTTGGAAATCTTAAGTCACCGAGTTCTGTTTTTGAAGTCATGGTCAGGAGGTCAGGCACAGTCAAGTTGTACTCTGTTCTACCAGTTAGCTGCAAGTCCCCTCCATTTCTCTGATCTGTTCCTTACCTATAAGGTCAGAGTCCAATGTAGAAAACCCATTTTAAAAACTGAGTGGAGATGGAATATAAATCATAAGTCATAGATGTTCCACGTACAGCTGTTGAGCCTCTGAGTTCACAAGCCAGGATAAATGACCCAGAAATCAACTAATACCCAAGGTTACACAGTCATATAGTGAGTATATAGGACTGCCATGGTCAGAATTCTGATCTGTCACCTGCCAGGGTGTCACATGCTTTTCGCCAAGGGGTCTACCATACATAAAGCCACATCTATGCTTTTCAGGAGTATGTGCTGCCAAAAGCCCAAATTCATAACAGATAAGTTCCATAGAATGGTGTTCTCTTCCTAAAGTGGGAAGGACCAGGAAGGACTCAAGTCCAGACCAACTTAGAGTCCCTCTCATACAGCAGGATTCTCTACTGCTTCCTGGGTGACATAATGGGCCCCTACCTAGTTCATTGCTCCTGACTCTCAGCCTCTGCTCTTCTCTGTCCTCTCTACGGGTCGGGCTGAACCTCCAGGCTTCTCCTAGTACAGAAATCACTGGTATCTCCCAAGTACCCCCCAACCTCTTTGTTGCTCATGGCCCTAATTCTACTGCCAGTATCTGTGTCATTCTCTGAGGATGTGTTCTGGCCACTAGACCATCATTATCTGTCTGCAGAACAGACCACAGTACTAGGGAATTAAATGTCCTCAGGAGTTGCTTTCAACTGATAGCTAGTACAAGTGGGTGTCTAAGGATTCTACCTTCCTCTCCCTGGAGTTCCATATGTCCTGTCTTCTCCCAGAGCTCTACAATTGAACTGAGTCCCATTTACCCAGTGTGGTCAATTCTGGGTGATGCCCCTCCACTGGATTCCTTTCTTCATGGTATTTCCTGGGAGACCCTTCAAACTCACCAATCTAATTCCTCCACTCTGGTTCTGCACCTGCTGTTCTTTCAGAAAGGCTTCCTCATGGGGCACTGCTTGGTGACATGCTAAGGGTGCAAGGGGATGCAGTGGGAACACCACTGTCCCCTGTCCTCTTCTGGGGACTCTTTCCATCTCTTCTTCCCCTCTCTCTGGGCTCTTCCCTGGGCACTTCCCAACTTCAGCTAGCAGCTAACACAGATCTGCCAGGACAAGGAGATGCACAGAATGTATGCGTGTCCTCCTTGTGTAGTGCCCAAGCTATACCTTCCATGTCTCAATAAGGGTAATTCAATCAAGATTGAATGTTTAGACCTTTAGCTTCAATGAGGTACCCAGGCAGTCCCTGTGGAATTACCTGCCTCCTCCCTACCCACTCGTGCAAGATGATAGCATTAACATTTCCAATACTTCCAGGAAATGGTTTTTCAGCTCCACAATTCATTGTAATGAGTCAAATCTCTTTTCTCTGAAAAATTGCACCTGTTTTTTACCCTCTGCAGTGCCCGGAAGACAGAGGGAAAGATTATAAAGTATGCAAATGATATTCTCTCCCAGCCCCACCTCTCTGAAGTGATTCTCTCTTAAAGCATATGTGACTTGAGATGACTGATTTATTGGGTTCTGTCTGATGATGGAGAAAAGGAGGGGAAGCTGGGGTT